AGCGGCGGAATCCTGTATTGACCAGACAGAGTATCATGCATCATACCAGGCTAGCATGCCATGAAGCCTTCTGCGGAGGCATCCATTATGGCTGACTGAATATTGTCATGTAGACTGTTTTCACAGCCATACTAGCTCATTTTTACTACTTATTATTTGCCATGGCGACCCCCGTAAGTCCAAATAGCTGGCAGGGCAGGGTTGGGCCTTTTTCTTTTTCTTTCAAATTTAGTTGTATCAGAAAAAAGAAAAAAAATTTATCCACTTCCCGTATTCCATGAAGCCTTGGAATGTAGCTTGTGCTCGACTCTATGGCGCTCGCCTTCCCCTCTTTGGAATTAGCACTAATATCCATGAACCTTCCAAGTTGGAAGGTCGTTGGTTAGCGCTATCGAGCATTGCTCAAGCTACATGACTTTCATGCCGTGACTGTCTCAGCACTCTTTTTCAGTTTGTGCTAGATTGTGCACATTTGAATGTTCAAAATCTTGTTTAGTTGGTGGACTCGATCGCATTACTTGTGCCCACATTTTTCCATGTTATAATAATTTATTGTTAATACACAAATATTTCGAACACGTAACTTAGGGTGCGTTCTTAAATCCTCTCGGAAAAGTTGGAGACTCTCCGACAAGTTCGAGAGCTGTTCTTATATCCTCTCCGACTTTTAGGAGGCTCTCCAAAGCTCTCCAAGCTTCAGAGGTGGTTGAAACTTGGAGATTCCCGCGGTTTGGGATCAGCGCATGCGAACTACGACTAAACTGAGCCACGTGTTCATCATGAGTGTACGCATTTCCCTTTTCTCATACGCACATACATTCATCACTCAAGATCGCGGCCCCTTTGACGCTTCATTTTGCTTGACATGTGCAAAATATCTCCGAATTCTTCGAGACCCGTTCTTGAGTAATCCCAGTTTCTTCGACTTCTCTTTTCTTCTTCTTCTAGAAGCTAGAGAATATAAGAACGCACCCTTAGTTGCGTGGTGATGTCTGTGGCCTTCGTTATATTCATAGCTTCTATCATCTCTGTTCAGTCCCTGTCCTTAAGCACCAGACAGTACTGCAATAGGTACCCTTAGCAAAAACGCTAACGCTATTCTCGACGCTATCTACCCCGACCAGGGAAATGACGATAAAGTTCTGCGTTGAACCCCCCCCCCCCCCCCCGACCAAGCCCCCTGCCGTAGCTAGCATGTGCACACGGCAAAAACGTCAGACGCACCATGGCTTCCAGCTGAAGTGGACACCCCCTCGCACAGCCCCTGACTACCTCCTGCGATCCTTCCCCTTCTTCGCCATCACACCCTGGAACAACCTGCCTGCGGACCTCCTGCTTCACGAACCTCATTCAAGACGCCTCCAAGCCTTCAAGGTCAACGTATGTAAGGATCTAATCCGAAAGAGATGGCTGTGGTCCACACAGACCTGTGACGATGATATTGAGACCCATTTACTTTCTACTAGTACTTGCTTGTTATGATTATTGTTCTCTTTTTTCTTTTTCCCTTCTGGTTTAGTCATTACACGTATTTATATTATTTGGTGCAATACTAGCACCTCTTTCTCGCACCAAATTATTATTTTTGTTACTTGACCATGCAACCCCCCCCCCTTTTTTTTTTTCGATGCCAGGTTGCAACGCTAATGCCGAGACCCCTGGTCGGTCGAGTTGCTCCCTGTACATCGGCACGTCATCTCTACATCCCCTGTGTCTTGTTTTGTGTTTGTCTCCACATGTCTCTTTGTAGGGCTGTGTTTCCAATAAATAAATAAAAATAAAATAAAAAACCTTATTTGGTCGAAAATAGCGTGAGGCTTGACGATATCTGGTTTATCAGTATTTTTACTGGATGCGTGAGTTTTGACAGGTTTTTGACGGGATCCTGGGATAATTCTTGTATTGCCACGGAAGTTCAAATATTGAGCCACGCGTGTGTGGGGGATCTTCCTCTTTCACTTTGCTTTCACTTTGCTTGTTGTCGCGTCAAGCTAGATTAGCTGTCTGTCATCATGAGTGACCTTGTTTTTTTGCCAGGTTCCCCGGCGGAACAGCTTGCTGTTGCTCAGCACCACTCGCCAGCCAGCTCATCTTCTTCTGCCTCCAGCACCGGAGAGGCAACAACGCCAACGCGGGAGGTCTCCAGAACTCGCTTCTCGGAGAGAGACGAAATCCTGTTGTTTCGGGAGGTCCTGGCACAGAAAGCTAAAGGAGAAAAATATTATTTGTTAGAAAAATTTCGCATCGTGCCAGGCTGGCAAGGACTGTTGCCATATCCACCATGGCAACGGTTCACGTTGAAGTAGCGTCAGATTGCTAACGCATAAAGTCCATTTGACGCAAAATTCAACGTTCACTTTTACCGTTAGCGTTATCTCAATGCTAAGGGTGCCTAATGAGTGTCATGTCCGAACTTGTCTGAATCCGCACTCCAGTGAGTGCGTTCCATTATGCCCGCGGATCGGTTCACGAATCGATTCGTGCTATTCACATCACCCATGTGAATAAGACGAATGGATTCCAAATCGATTCCAGGCTCATGACATGAAATCGAACGGCGATATTCCATTCATGAATCGATTCAAGTGCGTAACCGAATGCACTCACTGATGTTTGTATGATCTTACAGATGTGACCACTGAAGTACAAACAGCATGTCCGTATCGAAATGCAATACCGTTATCCCGAATCCAAATACTGTACAAGCAGAAATATTAGTCTTGAATTTAATTTCATCTTTTTCGTCCAAGGAGCTTTTGGACTAAATTAAATGCCGGACTAATGTTGATTTGTCCAGCTTTTCAATACAACCAATATGATCCACGGATGGAACTTTCAACCGGATGAACTCCCTTTCTTTGGAGCTGGACGGAATTATCGACCGACGAAATGTTCTGCCTGTACAGTAACCAACATGTCAAGCTTGAGGGGTGGAGAGTCGTAATATTATGACTGTGTGCATGACATCACCGCACTGCGCCTCACCTTCCAGTGTAAGCCGGGCGCTGCGGTTACCAGGGCGATGCGGCCTTCTGGGTTGCCATGGCGATATATCTGCAGACACTCCGTGCCATGTAGCATAGTGTCATCATTAGCCTAGAAGCATACACAGACAAGCATACACAGACATGCATACACAGACAAGCATACACAAGTGAAACAATCAAGCAAGGGCTACAACAGATCGCAGCATCATAACAGTACCGTAAAGTACCGTTGATCCGCCCCCACGCCATGTCGCTTCCCAGCTGGGTTTTCGGCAGGGGGGTGGGAATTAGATCAAGGCTGTCAAGTGCAGTACGATGTACAACAACGTAGAGGATCAGACTCAATGTGCTGGATTGTGCAGATTTTTATCCTGGATTGGCAAGTATTATGTACAGCAGTGCATGCGTCGGTTCAACATCGTATTTCGTCGTATACGCCGAAGTCGCTTCACAAGGAGAAAATCGACAGGGGGTGGGAATTAGAGAGGGGCGGATCAACGGTACTTTATGGTACTCGTACAGTAAACCTGCCAATGTGACCACCCTAAGAGGGCGACAACCTGTCCCAGAGGACCACTGCCAATGTGACCACCCTGAGAGGGCGACAACCTGTCCCAGAGGACCACTGCCAATGTGACCACCCTGAGAGGGCGACAACCTGTCCTAGAGGACCACTGCAACCAGGACCAAGGGATGCTTCTAGTGAAGTGACCCTGGATAAGGAGACCACCTGTACACAGCGACCACCTTTTGATGTCATCCTTGTTAACGAAAGAATATTCGTTCGTTAAGCCGAAGAATATTCGGCTACTGGGTTTTGATATTCGTTTCACCACTACATAACAGCATACAGGTCTACCCTCATTAATAGACAACTTCGGAGATTTCACATTTTTTGTCTAATAACGAGTGCTATCTACTATCACCGGGGGCGTCGGAAGGTATTTTAGTGTGGTATGGTCAGCCATCTGAAGTGCAATTTAAAAATTTCCTCGTGTGGGAGGGGTGGGTGAGTCGAAAATTTTGGAAATTTAGGGCCCAGATGACGGTGTATTTTATTGAGTCACGGGGTACCTGGGGCAGAAAGTGGTACGGTCAATACCGTAGTGACTGTACCGTTTCTGAGGCGACGCCCCTGACTATCCGGACTTGGATGTACGTGTTACAGGCGTCAGACGACCATGCCCAGGTGGCTGTGTGGGGTGCTTATGGTACAAATTACGTCATTGCACAATGGGCTTATACTGGTCACAACAGAAGACTACAGTGTTGCGTGTCAGTTATCCGGCACTCTCACAACCTCAGGATACTGGATAACTGAAACTACTCTACCAGCTTGTGTTCGCACATGAACAGGACTGCAGAGCATGATTCTACACGTATCTTCATGCTCTGCTACTACAGTTGTGCTCGGTGAAATGCGAGCCCAAAGTGCACACTTGCCGCCCTCAACTTGCACGGCCCTTGCCGCCCTCCTGGAAGTGGTACGAATACAGCTGGATGTGCACATATACAAAGAGCACCTAGCTTTAACGACCGCTTTTGCTTGCACCGTGGGGTGGTGGGGTGGTGGGGTGGTGGGGTGGTGGGGTGGTGGGGTGGTGGGGTGGTGGGGTGGTCGCTTGCACCGTGGGGTGGTGGGGTGGTGGGGTGGTGGGGTGGTGGGGTGGTGGGGTGGTCGCTTGCACCGTGGGGTGGTGGGGTGGTGGGGTGGTGGGGTGGTGGGGTGGTGGGGTGGTGGGGTGGTCGCTTGCACCGTGGGGTGGTGGGGTGGTGGGGTGGTGGGGTGGTGGGGTGGTGGGGTGGTGGGGTGGTGGGGTGGTGGGATGGTGGGGTGGTGGGGTGGTGGGGTGGTGGGGTGGTGGGGTGGTGGGGTGGTGGGATGGTGGGGTGGTGGGGTGGTGGGGTGGTGGGGTGGTGGGGTGGTGGGATGGTGGGGTGGTGGGGTGGTGGGGTGGTGGGGTGGTGGGGTGGTGGGGTGGTGGGGTGGTGGGGTGGTCGCTTGCACCGTGGGGTGGTGGGGTGGTGGGGTGGTGGGGTGGTGGGGTGGTGGGGTGGTGGGATGGTGGGGTGGTGGGGTGGTGGGGTGGTGGGGTGGTGGGATGGTGGGGTGGTGGGGTGGTGGGGTGGTGGGGTGGTGGGGTGGTGGGATGGTGGGGTGGTGGGGTGGTGGGGTGGTGGGGTGGTGGGGTGGTGGGATGGTGGGGTGGTGGGGTGGTGGGGTGGTGGGGTGGTGGGGTGGTGGGGTGGTGGGGTGGTGGGGTGGTGGGATGGTGGGGTGGTGGGATGGTGGGGTGGTGGGGTGGTGGGGTGGTGGGGTGGTGGGGTGGTGGGATGGTGGGGTGGTGGGATGGTGGGGTGGTGGGATGGTGGGGTGGTGGGGTGGTGGGGTGGTGGGGTGGTGGGGTGGTGGGGTGGTGGGGTGGTGGGATGGTGGGGTGGTGGGATGGTGGGGTGGTGGGGTGGTGGGGTGGTGGGGTGGTGGGGTGGTGGGGTGGTGGGGTGGTGGGGTGGTGGGGTGGTGGGGTGGTGGGGTGGTGGGGTGGTGGGGTGGTGGGGTGGTGGGGTGGTGGGGTGGTGGGGTGGTGGGGTGGTGGGGTGGTGGGGTGGTGGGGTGGTGGGGTGGTGGGGTGGTGGGGTGGTGGGGTGGTGGGGTGGTGGGGTGGTGGGGTGGTGGGGTGGTGGGGTGGTGGGGTGGTGGGGTGGTGGGGTGGTGGGGTGGTGGGGTGGTGGGGTGGTGGGATGGTGGGGTGGTGGGATGGTGGGGTGGTGGGGTGGTGGGGTGGTGGGGTGGTGGGGTGGTGGGGTGGTGGGGTGGTGGGGTGGTGGGGTGGTGGGGTGGTGGGGTGGTGGGGTGGTGGGATGGTCGCTTTTAAAAGTAGGTTGTACTGTACAGTAATGCTGGTTGTCTGTCTTGTAACATGTTGTCTGTCTTGTAACATGCTGTTAACCAACAACATGTTTTCAACAGAACAAGGTTTACCCAATACCATGTACATGTACAGTGATGTAATCGGAATGGGTCCAGGGCGTCAGTTTTGCACTTTGGATCGGATTTCAGTGAGCGAAACTCTAGTATTATCCGGAGACAGTCGTTGTTCTCATCCTTATAGGTTGATTTTGGTGCAAAGTTGCACAGAGGCAATGTTCATGATGCTCCCAGTCCACATTACTTGAAGTGGATGTGTAAATACAGAGCGTATGCGCCGTGAGTGTGCTGTGGGATAAGCAACATGACGGATGACTGCCCGCCGGATAAGCAACATACAACTGTACATGTATACATGTGTACATGTGTACATGTGTACATGTGTACATGTGTACATGTAGTGAGTGTTGTCTATACCGTTTACCTGTTGATATGCGGAGTGGAACTGCCTCAGACGGAACGCTTGAGGCATTTCACTATTGCGACATTTTGACCTGGCGGGGCAATGGGTGGAGACGCACGCAAAACAAACACAGCCACATAATACACACACATCCACACGTGCACACACATTCACACATACACGCACACATTTACAGAGAACAAACTTCAGACTGAGGAAACTTTTTAAATGAGGACAGTTCGGACTAGATACACGGCTGATTATTTTTCTCTCAGCTTCCACTGTACGTTAGAAAAGAAACATCTGCAGCAGAAGTAGTAGCAACAGCAGCAGCAGCAGCAGAAACAGGAGCAGCAGCAACAACAGCAGCAGCACCAGCACCAGGCACCAGCACCAGCAGCACCAGCAGCAGCAGCAGCACCATCAGAAGCAGCAGCAGCAGCATCAGCAGCAACAGAAGCTGCAACAACAGCAGCAGCAATAGCAGTGGCAGCATCAGCAGCAACAGCAGCAGCATCAGCAGTGGGAGCAGCAGTATTGGCTCACCTGACCAGTGTTTCCTCCAGTAGGTTATCATCATTGATCAGCACAATGGTGGAAGCACAGGGCACCACAACGCCAGCAGCACCACCATGCTGAGCCTTTGCAATCACTTCACATAGTACCGACTCACACACAAAGGGACGCACGGCGTCGTGAACCACCACCTGGAAAACGAAACAGAGGTGAAGATGATGGTTGCGGAGAGGGCAGATAGATCAAACTGCGGTTCAAACCCGCAGACATGAATGTAGAGAGATAACGGACTAAGTCTTAATAATTGATTTCACGGTTCGCGTGAGACTCGGCTGGAAGCCGGGCTTTCCGCATCCGTAGGAACGCCACCACCCTTCAAGGATCAAGGCGCAGATGCAGCTCCTAAAGCGGTGGAAGGTGAGTAGATCAGCTCACCAGCAAGTGGTCAAAGACCGAAAATCCCATTCACTGCATCCATGCATCCCATTCACTGCATCCATGCATCCATGAGTTTTCCTTAGAGACAACGAAGACGTAAGCCGCTCCTCAGCTGAAACACATTCCTACTGACAATTACAGCATGAAACTCCAAGCAGCGACGGCAACTTGGGATATACACACGCACACACGTACGCACCCACACACACACACCCATACCAGCAACAACTCACCACTTCAAACTCCATGTGTATCAGCTCTGGGTCAGTGAGCGTTGCAACACCATTACGAATGGAATAGTGGCGACTGCAGGCAAGCAAGACAGCAACAATACAATTACTGTATAAGCAGAAAATTTCGTTGGTCAATAACTTCGTCCAACTCCAAAGAGAGGGAGTTCGTCCGGTTTCAAATTTCGTCCATGGATCATAAGAGTGTATTGAAAAGCTGGACAAATCGACATTCGTCCGGCATTTAATTTAGTCCCACCGCTCCTTGGACGAAAAAGACGAAATTAAATTCCAGACGAATATTTCTGCTTGAACAGTACCATAAACAAAATAAAAAACCTTTTCTGCATGGTGACAGTCATACACACACACACATGCCCACAGGTGAATGCACTTTACACACACGCTAGGGGTGAAACGATTAGTTCGAATATTCGAGTATTCGTTCGAAAATTTCAAACGAGCGAGTATTCGAAATTTTGCACTCGATCGTTTTTTTTGGTATTGGCATTCTATTTTTCAAAAACTTCTGTTGTACCGCTCATCGACTGGTACGTATGCATGCGTTATGTATGCCTTTGTGTCAGTATTTTATGACTTGGACGATGCAATCACCATCGCAAGTAACGTTAGTTTGTTATGAAATAATGAAAGTACTGGTGAAAATCGTTACTCTACACTCTGTACAAGACGTTGGCGACTTTTGTTCTATGCTCACAGATAATTTCTTCCGGATTGGTCGAGAACTCACAAATCTAGCGCTTTTGAATTTTGATAAAATACTCGAAAAAATCGGATACTCGATCGAATATTATGAATGAGTGATCGGTTGGTCAAAATAGATAATCGTTTCACCCCTAACACACGCCCATGCACGCACGCACCCACACCCACACCGACATCCATACCCACACAAACACACATATCACACACATGCGTGTGCGCTCGCGCACGCACGCACCCACACTGGCAAATCGAGAATAGCCAACAGCTGCATGACACGTGGCGGTGCGACCCTGTACTATACAATTTCACTGCCTCAACAATTCTCAGAGGCCTTTCTTCCTGGACTGTTTCCACGCACGAAAGACCAGACCAGTCTCATGGGGCACGGGGTGATTTTAAGATAAGATCATTCTGTCCATATGACCACGATTACTAGCAGTGTTAGTGTACGTACGCTAGGAGAAACACTGATCAAGCAAGAAATGTTGACATGTTGACAGACAGGCAGGGGCGAAGGGGAGGGGAGTGGGGGGGGGGGGGGGCATTACCCCACCCCCTTTCCTCTCCCCCTTCCCTCCCCTCCCCGGGATTGTGATGTTCACTTACCTTCGCTCATCTCCCTCCACCACCATCACCTTGTGGAAACCGTACCGTGTTATGCGCTAGCAGTATGGCACAACCAACACACAGACAAACACAAAGACAGACGTATTCACAACACTCTCTATGAATAAAGAGACACAGGGCAGATCATAGACAAATGCCAGTGGGTCCAACAGACCCTCGTTCCCAGCCTAGTCACTGCTGTGCGCGCTGCAAATGGAGACCACACTAGAGTCACACTGCGGCCAGTGGGTATGCTATACAGAGTACACAGAGTACACAGAGTACACAGAGTACACAGAGTACACAGAGTACACAGAGTACACAGAGTACACAGAGTACACAGAGTACACAGAGTACACAGAGTACACAGAGTACACAGAGTACACAGAGTACACAGAGTACACAGAGTACACAGAGTACACAGAGTACACAGAGTACACAGAGTACACAGAGTACACAGAGTACACAGAGTACACAGAGTACACAGAGTACACAGAGTACACAGAGTACACAGAGTACACAGAGTACACAGAGTACACAGAGTACACAGAGTACACAGAGTACACAGAGTACACAGAGTACACAGAGTACACAGAGTTTTTTTTTTTTTTTTTTTTTTCCGCTACGAAGCCTCTTGTACGGGCAAAATTAATAAACCCATACAATCATGTCATGAAAATACAAAAGTGACCAAAATGATAAAGTAATAATTATTGTTTGCGTTCCAGCTCTCCGCCTTCTCCACAGGAACACATGCCCATAATATCAAAAACGGGCAACGCCAGCTTCTGCAACAACAACCTCAGCAGAGACAGGATCAGCAGTGAGGTGAGCTGTGAATGTGCTGCGAGCCCCACGGAGGCACATGACGCTGGCACGCAATAATGCAAAGCTCAAGCGGCAGCGGAGGTTGGCCATCACGTTGCTGTAGGGCTCGGCGGTCTTCTCAGCTAGCAGACTAGCAATTCTCTTGTAGAATGCAGTGGCGCATCTGCTCATGCCCCCAGTGGTGGACAGGACGGCTGGGACGAAGGAGGCATGTTCGATATTGCGCACCCGCTGCTCATATGCCCTCTTCTTCTCCCGCTCATGTTTGACATAGCAAGCGGCAATCGAGTTGGAGCGATTCGAGGACGCATGTGGGTTGAACACCCGAACATCAACAAAGGTGCGCTCGAATCGCCCACCCCAAATGCCACTTGCTGCCACATCTAGCCGGGCGTGGTCATCGGTGTTGGCAGACCGGTACCGTAGCTGTTCCCCTGTCAGTGGTTGAAGGTGGGGCTCCACAGCAACTTGATGGGCGACTTGCTTCAATGTCCTGGCGGTTAGGTCCCGGATCTCATTATGCCGGAGGGTTGGGAAGCCTCCTAGGGAACATGACAGGGCATGGGACACGGAGAATTCCTTCCCGCATTGACAGGATGTCGGAAGTCGGGGAGGTAGCCAGTTGTACCGCAGGCACACAGCGTCGCGAAACTCTCCTTTCGTGAGGTTGAAGCGGTGACAGCGAAGAGGTCTGCAGGTGAGCCAGCTGGAGGCGCCTTTTTCCGCTGCCAAATCCAGGGTTCTCTGCATGTCCGCCGACACCGATGAGCGGAGGAGCAAAGCATCAGCTCGAGCACTATCCCGGGTATCGGATCTGGCCTGCGCCTTTGCCTGCCGGACGCGCGCAATGGCATTGCCCAGCTCAAAGTCCTGTCGTAGAATGCATTCGGTCAGCGCCTGAGAGACCCGAACTGAAGACTCATGTTGTTGGGCAACTGACGATGGAGGTGTCAGGCCCAGACCGCCGTGGCGACATGGTAGGGCGATCATTGCCCTCTCCGTGGCGTTAACCTGACGGCCAAGGAGAGCAGGAACAAGGCAGTTGGTGACTGCATCATCGAGCGGCGTTAACTGCTCAGCGAGACCGGGCATGGTGCGGCAAAGGAATGTCCACTTGCTCTGGAGGCCGCGGGTGAAGGCAGAGTACGCTGCCTGTGGCTGCGAGGTGGCTATCTCCCCCTGTTAACCTGACGGCCAAGGAGAGCAGGAACAAGGCAGTTGGTGACTGCATCATCGAGCGGCGTTAACTGCTCAGCGAGACCGGGCATGGTGCGGCAAAGGAATGTCCACTTGCTCTGGAGGCCGCGGGTGAAGGCAGAGTACGCTGCCTGTGGCTGCGAGGTGGCTATCTCCCCCCCCTAGAGTACACAGAGTACACAGAGTACACAGAGTACACAGAGTACACAGAGTACACAGAGTACACAGAGTACACAGAGTACACAGAGTACACAGAGTACACAGAGTACACAGAGTACACAGAGTACACAGAGTACACAGAGTACACAGAGTACACAGAGTACACAGAGTACACAGAGTACACAGAGTACACAGAGTACACAGAGTACACAGAGTACACAGAGTACACAGAGTACACAGAGTACACAGAGTACACAGAGTACACAGAGTACACAGAGTACACAGAGTACACAGAGTACACAGAGTACACAGAGTACACAGAGTACACAGAGTACACAGAGTACACAGAGTACACAGAGTACACAGAGTTTTTTTTTTTTTTTTTTGGGCGTCTGTTATCCAATCCAATCCTTTAGAAACTACATGTATATGAGAGTAATTGTGGAGCGATCCTGAGCAATATTCCGAAAACTATTCTCAAAAAGTTCCAGCCAAATTTGAAATATTTCAAAAACCCTACGCGTCTATAGTTTTGAAATTTTTTTTTTTTTTTTTAGTAGTAAAAGCCTCTTTTACGGGCGAACAAAACACAATTTGCCATGGCGGAGGATTGAAAACAAATCACAATCATAATGATGACGTCGCATGTGATCAGACAGCAAGAGAAGCATAGCATAGTTCGCACAATCACGGGGCAAGGCTCAACGGGACACCCTAGCCTCCACGACAGCCAGGGAGGCACAGCCATCCATTGGAGGCTGCCAAACTCGGCGAGCCCCACGCAGACACATGACACTCGAACGCAGCAGGGCGAAAGACAGCCTGCAGCGGAGGTGGGCAATTAGCACAGAATACGCCTCCCTCCCACGTAGCGACTGGAGATGTGCAATCCGGCTCACCAGTGCAGCGGCACCCTTGCCGCATCCTCCGGTGGAAGAGAGCACAAAGGGGAGAAAAGTGGATCGCTCCACTTCTCGGACTCTCCGATCATATCGACGCCGTTTCTCTTGCTCATGGTGCCGGTAGCAGCCAGAGAGAGAGGAGGTGCGGTTCGAAGACGCATAAGGGTTGAACACCCGTACATCAATAAAAGTGCGTTCGAACCGACCCCCCCAAACTCCACTGGCCACCACATCCAAACGAGCTTGATCCTCGGTTGATGCTGACCGGAGCTGAAACTGCTCCCCAGTCAGGGGTTGGAGATGTGGCTCCACTGCGACGTTGTGGGCGACACCCTTCAATGAGCTTGCCAGTATGTCGCGCACCTCGTTGTGGCGGATCGAGGGGAACCCACCGAAAGGACAGGACAAGGCGTGAGCAGTGGTGAATGCCTTCTCGCAAACACAGGTGGTGGGCAGGCGAGAAGGCGTCCAACCGTAACGGAGGCAGAGGCCATCCCGGAATTCCCCCTTCGACAAAGCGAAGCCATGGCGAGCGATGGGTCGGCAGGTAAGCCAGCTTGATGCTCCCTTCTCCTCTGCCAGACTGATAGCGAGATCGAGTTCGCTGTGTTCGGTGCGGAACGTATCGGCAGCTATCTTCATTGCCTTTCTGGCCTCAGAGCGAGCCTGACTCTTGGCCCTGCGGACACAGGCAAGAGCATCATCGAGGTGCTCTTCTTGCGCCATGATCTTGTCGTACAGCGCAGTGGTGATTAGCCTGGAGGTGCCGTACTGTGAGCCAAAAGTGGCAGGGTTGGCCACGCCGAGGCCTCCATGCCGGCAGGGGAAAGTGAGCAAAATGCGTTCAGCTTCACTGGGCGCCGTCCGTCCACTAATGGCAGGGATTAGGCGGCGGTGGATGATGTCCTCCAGGGGTGCCAGCTGTTCTGCAGCACCATCGAGAACCCGACACAGGAAGGACCACCGGTGTTGGAGGCTGTTCACCAGTGCAGAGTAAGCTGCTTGAGGCTGTGACCGGGCGAAATCTGTCAGCTTGCACAGCTCCTGCGACCAGGTGGCCACCTTGGAAGCCACAAACTCCTGCACAAACTGATCAGTTCCGATGGCTGATCCAAGGTGACGGCACCCGTCAGTGGTGATAGACACACCCGTGCCGGCGAAGATGGTCTCGGCTGCCTCTAGCTTGTCCCGCTTGACGACGAGGACGGACTTGCTGGGGTTAATGAAATACCCGAACGCCGGCCCATCCCCGACGAGTCGGTCCCACCACTGGCGGAGAGGGTTGAGCCCGCCACCCGCGGACGAGTCATCCGCATACCAGCTCTGGCGTGTTCCTGGGGTTGCCACTCTGCGCACCAGGGGGAGTACCCCCAAAGCGTACATCGGCATAGCAAGAGGATCTCCCTGCGTTGTGCCTTCTCGCGATAGGAGGCACTCCCCGTCCACGAATAGGCGGGCCGGCTGACGGTAGCAGTTTACGATAGCGGGTGTGATGGCTGGACAGAGGTGCGCTACGTTGCGCATACATGCTTCTCTGTTAAGGCGATTGAACGCATTGGATGCATCCGCCATAAGCACAGCGTCAACGTCTTCTTCATGGAACGTGTCGTGCATGGCGTGAATGGCCGCCTCAATGCCACATTCCTGGCCTCCGCACATCTGCAGTGACCCTGTCGCCTCACGAACAGAGTCCCCCGCCACGCTCAGAATAGCCTTGCCGATGATACGACGGACGGTTTCGCCGATGCCTATTGGGCGCACACCCGGTTTCTTATCTAGAGGGATAAGCCGGCATGCCGTGTAGGCTTCCATCGATGCTGGGTTGACGTACTGAGTGGCGATTCGCTGGGCACAGCTGGCGAGAGCATCACATAGGTCGTCTGAAATGTCCCCAAACGCTGTGCACATACGCCTCCAGCCATCTGCGTCCATCCCAGACGGCCCTGCAGAACCGGTGGTATGCAGTGCAGCTTGGCGCACAGCGGTCCTGTCCAGCTTGGTGAAGAGCACTGGGTGGGGCTGTGCTGGGGGTTGCCCTGGGAGGAGAGCCGCTGCTGTGACTGCCTCGCCCTGTGGGTGCTTACTGCGCAGCACATCAAGCACGGTCGTTTCTCCAATGGTGTCGTCAAGATCAAGAACTCCACCACCCATGTCGGGGGAGAGTTGACGAGTGGCTGCCGAGAGCCTGCCACGCTCAATGTCAGACGCAAATCTGCGTGCCGGGTCGACCGTGTGTCCCTCGTGCCGTGCGTTTCGCCTGCGGGCCTTGAAGATCTGGTCTTGAATAGTCACGGATTCTTGGAGTAGCACCTGTACGTCTCCGGAATCCCACGAGGCAATGCGGCGCTCGATGCAAACCTTGTGAGCTGCTGCCGCTACGGTCCCGCCGGGTTTCTGAAGGAGCAACTGCTGCATTACCATCGCCGTTTTCAGGGCGTAGTCAGCTGCACCTGAGGAGTTGTTACCAAAGGCGTGGAAGTGTGAACTCAGCATACGGATAAAGGTTCGGCCCGTGCTGCCCATTGGTACGTCCAACAGGTTTGGGGCAAAATGAACTACCTTCTCGTACGCCTCGGATATCCGGTTGGAAAACGTGGGACCGTCCAGATCTCCCATTCCGAGTGTGGGGTCCCGCAGGGGAGGATGGGGTGGCAGGTCCGGGATAACAGGATCAGCGACGTCCATTGTTGCTTGGGACATGTTGAGTGTGGCTAGCAGTCGGACATCGTGTGGATCTACGTCCCCACTCGCTGGTAGGTCAACTAGGTCCACTACGGTCACGGTGGCACGCTCCGCGTCCGCTGGCTCAGGCGCTTGGCTGGCAGGTTCGACATCAGCACTGCCATTGGTGTCAGGCGAGTTCGGCACCTGTACGGGTACTACAGTGCTACTGCTAGTACTGGCACCGGGAGGCGAGCTCGACCGGGCTGTGCGAGGTGGTCCGTGACAACCGTCTCTGCACTCTGCAAGTAGGGTGGTGGTGAGTACTGCGGCTGCACTCTCGGTGACTACTGGCTTGTGCACATTCGAGAAATTTGGTACGGGTACGGAGTCTAGTGTCGTATCGGAAACTGCGGTTGCTCTGTTGTCGGAGCTTGTCGACGTCCTGCTGACAGTGTGGTCCGTTACCGTATCACGAACAGAGTTCCGTGCAGTTCCTACGGGTACGGTAGCTGTAGTCGTCGACGACGGTTGAGAAGACGGTTGGGATGTCGGGGAGCCGTTCCGGCATTTGTTCTTCTTCGAGGGGATACAATTCCGACACTTCCGACCCTCCTTCGTGCAATCGCACCGAACACAGGTGCCGTTGCCGTTGCACCGGCAACAAGTGGCACTCTGCATCGGCTGGTTTGCAGGAGAGGCACGTTGGAGTTGGAAAATCCACTGAAGACTACAGAGCTCGAGAAACGCGTACCTACGTCAACATTCAAAAAGAAATAGTTTTGAAATGCACTGTAGTAGTAGTAGTAGTAGAATTTATTATTTTGATAGGGAAGGCCCTACAGACGTTGCCGTCTTGTTACAGGGAACCCTAAGTGCTCTTTACAGAGCGAAACAAAAACGGATAGATGCTCAACCTGACGACACGAGACCGAGTACACAGAGTACACAGAGTACACACACCTTGAGAAGAAAGTCTTTCCACTCCCGTCTGACCGTCACCACGATGCACTCTATATAAGGTATTCTGCACGGTACGGGCATGCACACACACACACACACACACACACACACACACACACACACACACACACACACACACACACACACACACACACACACACACATATGCACACAAACACTTACGCACACATGCGCACGTACACGCACGATACGAAAGAGCATATACATTGGCATCAATGTTCAAATTGTTTCCAGGCAACGGGGCAACAATAAGTTTAGAGCAGCAGAGCAACAGCAGCTGAATGGACACGTAGACCGTAATTCCTTGTTGATCACTGCATTCTTGATCTACTTGTTGATCACTGCATTCTTGATCTACTTGTTCACTGCATTCTTGATCTACTTGTTCGTTAGTGGCTACATGGTGATTCAGCTGATACTGCTCAGGGCTGTTCTCAGGCCCGCCGGAACCGGTCCGATTGGTCAGGTTATTACCGGACCAACTTTGTAGCTACCAACGCATGTTTCAACCGCTGAGGAGGGCATACATGTATGCGTGTGTGTGTGTATGCGCATGCCCGTACCGTGCAGAATACCTTATATATACTACTCTTTTTTTTTTTGGTATTGGCATTCTATTTTTCAAAAACTTCTGTTGTACCGCTCTTCGACTGGTACGTATGCATGCGTTATGTATGCCTTTTTGTCAGTATTTTATGACTTGGACGATGCAGTCACCATCGCAAGTAACGTTAGTTTGTTATGAGATAATGAAAGTACTGGTGAAAATCGTTACTCTACACTCTGTGGTGTATCGATGCTGTGCATGTATGACGTCATGTGGCAAAGGTGCATGACATCATGTGGCAAAGGTGCATGACGTCATGTGGCAAAGGTGCATGACATCATGTGGCAAAGGTGCATGACGTCATGTGGCAAAGGTGCATGACATCATGTGGCAAAGGTGCATGACATCATGTGGCAAAGGTGCATGACATCATGTGGCAAAGGTGTATGACATCATGTGGAAAAGGTGTATGACATCATGTGGCAAAGGTGCATGACATCATGTGGCAAAGGTGCACTTCTGTACACAATGTCAAGTCTACAACATACATGTATTTGCTACAGTGCCAATGGAAATTCCATTTTATTAACTTTTTTTAAGAGGAGATCCGCTTGTAATAAAGAAAAAGACCAAGTAACTACAAGTTATGCTATAATGTCCACTAACACCACCAGTTACTAAACAATCAGCTCATGCGATAACATTGCACGACACCCACCGACAGTACACTTAGGCACATCCCTACGGAGATACCCGGGGGGGGGGGGGGGGGTTGGGGGGGGGGGGCATAGGAGAGGAAACAAGCGGTGCAGGGGCCACATACACACAACTTTGGGGAGAAGGTTATAAAGTCTGATGCTCATCACACAGCAAACTGTATGCGTCGTACCTGTGAAAGGCTGAGATGGTGTGACAAACAAGTGGACAGTCGTGCACCTTCACGAACTGGCGGAACAAAGCATAGCCACACACACACACACACACATACACAGACGCACGCACACACACACACACACACATGCTCTAATCATAGCATAGAATGCCTTGGCCTTGTGTCGATTGCCAAGATACTTCACTGCGGTGCTTCACAGCGCTCGTGTATATTTTGCCCTAGTGTTCAACTTGGATAGGTTAATATAAACAACAGAACCGGTATCTTTACGCCTTGTCTAACTGCCAGTACAGGGTACTACAGTCAAATCTGTCGTAAGCGACCGCCCCTTGGTGCAAGAAAAAGCGGTCGCTTACCGCAGATGGTCTCTTCCGGCAGATGTATGGTAAATCCGGTATACCGGGTATATACTTCCATGTACTCAAATCGACGAGAATAATGTGATTTTTAATATCACTTTATTGGATATTCAACGACGACCATACCCGTATAGTACGCGCGTGCGACACGGCAGTAGATCGACACTGCCTGGACTTGAGAGCTACAGCACAGCCTCAGTACAGGCCAGGCGCCAGTCGATCGCACTTGCAAGACAGCGCATTTTCACACTTTGCAGTTGACAGCGCACTGGCAAGTACAGTTTCGCACCTGACTGAACCTGGGTCGCGGTCGCTTACAGCAGATTTGAATGCAGCCACCGTGCATGAAATCGCGGTCGCTGGTCGCGCACAGCAGATGGTCGCTCTGGACAGATCAGTTTGTATGTGAAACCGTCGGTGCATGGAAAATCGATCGCTAACGGTAGATGGTCGCCTACAGCAGAGGTCGCTAACGGCAGATGGTCGCCTACAGCAGAGGTCGCTAACGGCAGATGGTCGCCTACAGCAGAGGTCGCTAACGGCAGATGGTCGCCTACAGCAGAGGTCGCTAACGGCAGATGGTCGCCTACAGCAGAGGTCGCTAACGGCAGATGGTCGCCTACAGCAGAGGTCGCTAACGGCAGATGGTCGCCTACAGCAGAGGTCGCTAACGGCAGATGGTCGCCTACAGCAGAGGTCGCTAACGGCAGATGGTCGCCTACAGCAGAGGTCGCTAACGGCAGATGGTCGCCTACAGCAGAGGTCGCTAACGGCAGATGGTCGCCTACAGCAGAGGTCGCTAACGGCAGATTTGACTGTAGTAGTAATCCAAACGTCCCTAATCCGGGCACCTTTCTGACACCACTAGAGTCACAGAGATGGGTTTTTCAAAGAAAACAAGCCCCAAAAACCTATTGATTGGCAACAAATGTTTACTTGCACGCTAACGTTTATGACGCATGTTGTGACTTATTATACTGCTGCTCTTGCTTTGCAATGAAGCTATCCGCCAAGGACCGACAGCGACTCTCGTCCGTTTATCGTCGTTCTGTACGCGCTGCTTGTGGCTCGAAACTACAAGATGACGTCATGCCGCTGTTAGCTAGATTGTCGATTGATCCGTTTGAACATTACCTTATTCGTAGCATTGCTAAATTTATCCATGTTAATCATGTCGTTTTCCCTCTCCCAAATCTGACGGACCTTTTCCCTCAAGTTTCAACCGGCCCTAGGACAACAAGAAGCTCTTTTAATGCTGCTATTGCAATATCTAAATTCCGGACGACTGACGGTGTCAATTCCTTTTCAAATCGTGCTGCCCTGTTCTTTAATTCTTTGCCTGTGGAGTGGCGCACCCAGCACCGCACTAAATTTGCTAAGCACCTTCAGACCATGCTAAAAGACGCAGCGTCTTTTCAGAAGTATTTTGATCTTCTTTTCAGCAAACTCCCTCATTGATCTGCACCGCCTGTATTGTACAACTGTGTTTACTGCGTTCCTAGTTTAAATTCGTTTTTAAAAACATCTCTTTAATTCTTGCATTATCCCATTATGACCATGCTTAAAGACGCAGCGTCTTTTCAGAAGTATTTTGATCTTCTTTTCAGCAAACGGCCTCATTGATCTGCATCGCTTGTATTGTATACCTGTGTTTACTGCTTACTGCTTACAGCTGCTTTATTGTTCCAAGTATCAGTTTAGTTTAGTTTAAAATTAATATCTCTTGTTATTATTATTTTTTTTCTCACCCCACACCCCTCTACTCTGTTATCGGCCCTCTTAAGAGTTGTGTTCATCACTGTTGAGGCTTCCGATGGAAAATAAAAGAAAAAATACTACTAAATCACGGGCAATTCCTCCCTACGGGTAGTGCTTGGTCCCAATTTGCCTGGGTTAGGGGAGATGTACTGTCTGCACTGATCGAGGTTATACAAAATTGAATGATGTCATGATGATGTCATTGTGGGTGAGTCAATGGAACCGCTTATGGGCGTTATGTGTACTGCGCGAGTCGCCAGTGTGTCGCTAGGGCATTTCTGCGCCGTGACTTTGCCAAAGCAACTCAGCAGTTGATGCAATCGCATAACCTCTACTAGTATACTGTGGTAATCATGCATGACATGGGAACAATCATTTACACATACCTGTTTGGGGATTCCCCTTCCGGATCGCTCTCCTATTCCGGATGCTGGCAAGACCACGGCTACTGGGCCCATCTTCGGCATTGGTAAAACATTGTCTGGAGCTGGTGCGCTATCAGCCGCTGCGCTATCAGCTGAGGCATGGTGCGTTACTGCAATGTCATCGTCCATTCTGAGTCTCGAGGCGGCGAATAAACTGGCCCACTCGGCTCATACAGCACAATCCTGGATCTCGGCCGTCACACACGCAGATGTAAAAATCTAGCATTTGTAGCGTGACCGTACTGTTTCTGCCCTGTCGAGTATCACGGACTAGACTAGTTCACACCACTGTAATGCCTCGCACACCTGATGCTAGCTGCAGGTCGACTCCGTCTTGTTCGGCTTTGCGCTGCCAGGTTCCCCTTGGTGCACCGCGCACGCGAGCACATTGAAGAATTTCATAATAATTTTTATTAGTTTACATTCTGGTGACTGTTGTTCGTGTTACCCTATGTCCTATGTCCGTTCCTAGATGGTAGTATTGCGCACAAGGCTACACGCAGCGGTGGCGACTCGTTCCGATTCCACTCGGATAGGCTCACCTAGTAGTACCTAGATCCTGAACTCGCCCACGATGAGTGATAGGTGTAGATTTACCTAGGACAAAACTGAAAAGAAGTAAAGCCTACTAAAGAAGGCACGATAAAAAGATCTGTCCGTGAAAGTATGAATGGTTGAAACAGCTAGCGGGACCACCACTACTGGCACTACTACTAGTACTAGTCATGCAGTACTAGTAGTAGTGCACCAGTGCGCGACGGTGAGTCGGTGAGTCGGTGACCCACACAGGGCCACAGACAGTCGATGAATCAACTCTCAACGACGTAGATCTACCAGGCAAGTAGTAGGAGCAGATCTGTACAGTCTGAGTCTGTACTGTACTACTGTAGTGTAGATCTACACTACATTCTATGCTGCTAGTAATATGCATGCACGTGCATGAAGTGTGTCATGTACATGTATGATCATGTAGTCTATTGTAGATCTACATGACGGTATAATCACGATAATCGATCTAGCTCAAACTGCACTGCATGCATGCACTGAGCAATACATTTTTTTATGTTCCATACTGACCATAGAGATAACGGGGAACTCATCAGATCATGCAGAGGAGAAGCAGTAACTGTTGTTGAATGAAGGGGTTTAGCTGAACAATGCTATTTTTATAGAGAAGATACTTCTGAAGAATTCAAGATGGCAACAAAGAATTCCAATTTGCAGTGTTCCATGCAGTGGACCTCCGGCTACGCGGGTCCACAAGGCGCGCCTGACTGGCTTGTCGACGCAGGATGGTGCTGGAGTAGGCATCGCCCGTTGAGAACTAAATTTCCTCTGTTTTACATTGAATTTCTTGGAGTTTTCCAATGTTTTATTTCTTTTACAATGACCACAGCTCAGCTCACATGCAAAGACAAAAAAATTGCATGGTGGGAGCATAGTAATGATGAGGCTTTTTGCCCTCAGCCGACCTGAGGTCTCTACGTCGTGGGGACATGAAACCCACCAGAAAGAATGAAGAAGAAACAAATAAAAGGAGTGACAGGTACATGATACGAAATGTTAGGAGGAGAGACAGGACATGTGAAGGAGGGAAAGAAAAAAACCCAGCTAGGTTTAGGAGGAGGCAGAGAGAAAAGAAGAACAGACGTTATTGGGAGAAGGATGATTGTACTGGAACAATAACTTTTTCTTTTCATGGCATACTCGGGTGGAGAGCCAAGGATTAAAATTAAAAAGAGAGGACCATAAGTTTACAAGTTATCCGTTTTGTCCATCACTTACGATTATAAGCAGGATACCGTTGAGTCAAACCCTCTTTTGCTTATCTCGATCACATGAGCCTCCCAAGTTGGGTGGTCGGTGTTTCGCGTTCTCGAAGTGGGCCGTGGCCGTCCTGTGCCGTGGTCCTTAGTCATCATCTTGTCATAGCTAACATTCTTAGTTCGCTGTGATGTTTAGCTTGTTTTCGTCTACAGTGCGCTCACCGTCCCCTTTCTTACGTTACTTCATAACTTAGAACCTTCCAAGTTGGAAGACTGTTGGTTTGGCCATTCAAGACGTGATGCAGCTAAGCATCAGGTCGTTGAATGTCAGTATCACATCAGTCAGTTTTGTGCTCAGAATTGACATGTTGCATATTTTGACTCAACAGTATCAGAGGCGTAGCAATGATAGTGATCAAGGGGGGGGGGGGGTGGCACAACTTTCCCCACACAAAAGTACACGCACTCAAGTTTTTGATCCGCGATACGGGTTTTTTTGGGGGGGGGGAGGGAGCAAAATTGGCCCCAGATTTGATGCTGAAAATCAATCAGTGAATGGCAAACCTCCAACCAGGTAGTAGTACTATTTACGGTAACCTCCCGCGACAGCGCGTCCATGTTTTTAGCGCGGTGCACTTCAGCGCGACCGCCTTAGCGCGAGGCATTTCAGCTCGGTGCCATTTCAGCGCAGTGTCTTGACAGCGCCGATGATTTCAGCGCGAAATTTTTAAGCGCGGGACATGTCAGCGCCAATTTCTTCAGCGCAGATTTTTCCGCGGGAGGCACTTCAGCGCCGTACACGTAAATGTACGTACGGGCACCAATTAGCCGGCAGCCGGCATGCAGGAACTTTACAGTGCTGGTAACCTACAGGACTGCTGTCGTCAACTGATGGCATTGCCATTCCTGCCAGGTCGCCTTCGATCGGTTGGATTGAGAATGCTAACGTTCCGATGTCGCTGTGGTGCTGCCATGGAAGGGACGTCAGGACCAACAACAGTGTTGAGGGATGGCACTATCGATTTAGCCGAAAGGTGAACATCACCCACCCCAACGTATGGGTGCTGTTGGAGCAACTGAAGATGGAGGCTTCGCGTACGGAGCTTCTTGCCGGCCAGATGCAAGCTGGCCAGCGCATCCCAGTCGGGAAAGCTTCATACACTCGACTTTTTAACGATCGAGTTCGCGTCCTGGAAATCAGACGTGCAAATGGAGAAATTATTTTGAATTTGTTTTCGAATGTTGGTCGACTTTATCATTTCTAATCTACGGATTCTCTTGTCATATCGCTATATGCCAACTAAAATAATAATTCAAACTATGTGAAAACAAGTTTGTCAAAGAATCACCAAATCACCAAATTCCGCTAGCGAGAGTGCAGACGAGACCACTAATTCCGTGCGTACGATAATGCGTAAGATACTGCGTAATAGTACACGTGAAAGTGCTTCGCGCTGACATTATTATGCGCTGAAGTGCCTGGCGCTGACGTTACCTCGCGCTGACAGTACATCGCGCTGAAGTGCCTTGCGCTGACATTACCTCGCGCTGAAGTGCCTCGCGCTGACACTACCTCGCGCTGAAATGCCTTGCGCTGAAGTGGTCGCGCTGAAATGCCTCGCGCTGTAGTGGACGCGCTGTCGCGGGATGGAATCCTATCTACTACTCCCTGCTTCCAACTAATGTAATGATAGGCCTAACTCTGGATGCTGCTTTCTCCAGAATTATCACACTCTCCATCGTACTTTCAAAGTCAGATTTCTCAACCCGTTTTCTCTTCGTTGTGTGTTTATTTTTTTAAACTTTGTTTTACTTCGCAAAATCCTTTTTTGTTTTGCCTTTTTGTTTTGGTTTAAAGTGCAGTAAGGTAACTTACCCCATATTTCCCACAAAACCGCAAACTCCACTTCAACGTTACTTTGACTGTTCTTCTGCTGCTGTGCCGACACTTGAAACACATGAGAGAATCTTCTTTGCTTTTTCACAACCTCCAATGCGAACGCTCAACCGTCAGAACTATAATTATGTACAATGTACAAGTACATAAACAATTCCGTTGATCCCCGAGCTGCAGAGAGTGCTCAATGTCAGGGACAGAGCTTAGTACTGCTATGTACAAGTACACTATACAAAACGTTTTTGTAATCATTGCTGTCTGATGATCGCCACAGGCGTGAAACTCTGAGTCACAGCCAACCCAAGCTCCGTGTCCCATTCTATTCTTTTTGTATGAAGCTCTGCACCCCGCGGCCCGGTGCATTGAGCACTCTTTCGAGGACCACACCCGACTTTCCGTGTACACAACTTTTTACAGTATTAATACTAGAATAATTTTTAGGTAAAGTTTTGTTGTCAGGAGTACTACTACTGAGTACTGGCTTCCGTGGAGTGAGGCTGGTGAACTGTTCGTGCTGTGATCTGCAAGCGTCGTGTGGTCTCGTCGGGTCAAATGAAAAAAAACCTATTACTGCAAATTGGGTACGAATTCGCACCCAAGCCAATAGAGTTTGGTTATTTGTGATAGAAAAGGGCTTGTCCCACTTGAGGCATCTCGGTGCGGTACTTGGGTCTCCCGAATTCTGCAAGCAATATGTTGTTGTTGTTGTTGTTGTTGTTGTTGTTGTTTATTTATTTTACATCGCATGGCAAATGGGCAGTTCTGCTCAATATTATGAAAGCGATGACAACCAGTAAGAAGAGTCAGAAATGAAGAGAAAAATAAATGAAAATAAAAATACGAAAATGGAAGTAGCAACGAGGAGAGGCAGGGTCAAGACGGGCAGAAAAATGGATCTCAAATTTACAAGTCGGGTCATCGTAGCATGATTCTATCGAGCCTCATCAGCAGGTTACGAAAGCCATTACATTTAATCGAAGTAAAATACGCGTAGCATGCGTTTGAATTCACGGACAGATACTATGGACTTCATACAGTCGGGCAGGCCATTCCAGAGTCGGCAGCTGGCTAGAAGCGGTCGGCATGCGCCAGAACTTAAGCACTGTGGGCCAGGGGGAGGGGAAGGTTGCGTCCCAATTGACCTCGAGTGGTCATGCCTGTCAGCGGGCCTTGCAATATTTCACAGAGAAGGTAGAGGCATGGGCGCTAGAGGTTGGACGACTGGTTGACTTATTTATTATTTATTTATTTATTTATTACAGCATCTCATAGCTCAGTGAGAACACCGGCCAATACAAAGAGAGAGGGTGTTAGCCAACCACGGCAAGGAAGGGAGAAGGGGAGGAGAAGAAAAAAGGACCACCACCACCACCACCAAAGGACCGCCACCACTCAGCCACAAGCGGCATGCGCTGCTTTTAATCTTGGCCTCCGCCACAAGTGGTCGTTTGTGGCCTGGACGGTCCCAGGCATCAGCGGACTGCTAGACCCGCTGGAGCACTCCATCCGACAGCGGTTCACCCCTGCTCTAACCGGTCGCCCCGCACCTGGTGACGAAGAGCGCGCCATACTGTCCCTCCCGTGTCGAGAAGGTGGTCTTGGTCTCATTGGCCCGAGGTCTTTGACGGACCAATACAATATGTCTGTCGCTGTCACCAACATCCTCGTGAGCCGGATACTGGACCAAGACACCAACATGGACGAAGTGCCCACCACCATCCATGCTGCAAAGCTAACTGCAGCAGCAGCAACCAGGAGAGCCGCTCGAGACCGAGCCAGTCAGCTCCTGGCCACATGTGATGCGCCCACCAAGCGAACCCTGGGGATGGCGGCCGAGAAAGGAGCGTCCAACTGGCTCACTTGCCGGCCCCTGAAGCAGTTCGGGTTTGTCCTCCACAAAGGCGCCTTCAGAGATGCACTCTGTCTGCGGTTCGGCTGGGTCCCTCCCCGCCTGCCATCCACTTGTGCGTGTGGCAAGGCGTCACCAGCCATGCTCTTTCGTGCCCAACTGGTGGATACCCGGCTCTTCGCCATAACACGATCCGCGACCTGACAGCCGACCTACTGCGTGAAGTGGCAACGGATGTGAAGATAGAACCTCCTCTGCAGCCCTTGGAGGGTAAAAGGCTCCGGTGTCGCTCTGCCAACTTGGAAGATGGTGCTCGTCTTGATGTGGCGGCATCCGGTGTCTGGGGAAGTCGTTTTGAGCGCACGTTCTGTGATGTTCGGATTTTTTAACCCTCATGCGCGCTCGAACACTTCCTCAACTCCCGCGTCCACCTATGCCAAGCACGAACAGCAGAAGAGAAGGGCCTACGAAGAACGCGTCAGGGAGGTGGAGCATGCTTCCTTTCTCCCACTGGTATTCAGTGCATCTGGTGGCTCAGCCGCTGTGGCAAGGTAGCCCACGCTTTCCTGAAGCGTCTTGGCCATATTATGGTTTCGGAGAAGCGGCATGAACCCTACTCCGCCGTCATGTCCTGGATCCGCTCCCTTGTCTCCTTTGCTTTGGTTAGATCCTGCAACATGAGCCTCCGTAGTCACCGTGCTTCTCCCTACCGCAGTCGTGTGGATGCTGCCAGTCCTGTTGTGCTGGCAGTCAACGACTGTCTGTTGCGTGACTGAGACTCTTGCGGAGTAGCCGTGTCTAGCATTTATATTCCACACTTTTATTATCCGATGATCTTGTTTTGTTTGCTATGATTCCGTGATTTTCTGTTGGTTGCTTTTCTGCTGTGCGAATAAATGCAGTGTCCACAAAGGAACTAAGTAACTTAGTTACTTGAGGGCTAGACGACCATCACGTACATCTACATGACATTGTACGTGTACGTGTACGTGTATATGACATTGTACGTGTACATGTACATTGTAGGTACATGTATAATTATACTGTGTACTTGAAGCACTTGTCCAAGTGCCGAAGTGGTCCATGGCTGGCAGCAAGAAACGTAGTTTCCAGTGACGTTCAAGTTGACTGTGTCTAGTCACTGGTAGTCAGGTGTACAGTTTGTTGTATACAGTTCCTGCGAACTGTTAGTGTTATCAAGATTGTAGAACGAAAATCAAACACTTGAGCGTATGTCACGTCAGTGCATGTCACGTCAGTGCAGTGCATTGTCCGAGTTTGGGAACACCCACGTCCAAGTCTTATCATGATAATAGGGGCGAAGAGTCCTTGAGCTTCATCATTCCAAAACGGAAATATTGTTGCATTGCATGTCATGAGTCATGAGTTCGTTCGTTCGTTTTCAAATATTTCGAACGAATATTCCAACTTTCGTTCGTTCGTTTCACCCCTGTGCCCTGTTAAAAGCGCATCATGGCTCCGTTTAAATGCTTTTCGGCTAGTGTGTGTTTTGTGGTATAGCGGACTGAAGAA